GTATATGCAAAAAATATTGTCATAGATACTACTAGTTTAGCCTGTCAAAAATAAAAGTTTGAACAGCGAAACATAAAAATTGAAAGTTTTATAATGGTTCCTGGCTTATTGAACTTGAATCAGATCAAGAAAGAACCCACCAACCAAAATCAAGTTAAGACTAAAAAGACATAATCAAAAGAGGTTAGCAACACAGATGGATTAATAGATATATTATTCCACCCATATCTTTTGGTAACAAATGAAAACTTTAGTGTCTGAAAACATTGCTACAGCCATAATATGCAACCAAACCACTCAGCTAATTGTTACTTCAGTAAGAATGCAAAAGTTCACAGCTCTTCCTATGGTTAGATTTCACATTCTGATCCCTCATTATTGTGATAGGTGATCGGCTTTGGATTCAGAAATTTATGCTGCAGAAACAAGTGTCACTAGACAAGCACATGCCGCCACCTATCTCCCTTCAAGTTAACAGGAAAACCAACTCTACCAAATGGAGTCAATCTACTCACTCATATTCAGATACTTAACCTCTATCCACTATTACTGGGAGAGTCTGCTTCACATTCTGAGGCCAATGAAACAAAGAGCAACGAAGTGAAGACATGAGAGAAACAAGGATTAATTAACTAAAAAAGAGATTTGAAACTGGATGCTGGGTACACACGCTACCCTCACACCCTGAAATAATATATTGAATTTATTAACAACGAGAGGACTAAAAGAGCACACTGCCATCTGAAGGTATTACCTGGATTTAGGTCACAGGAGGGAACTACCAACTCTAAGGATCAGGTGTAAACCGCCCATTTTTTAAAACACTAGCATTCTCTTTCTACTTCACATACCTGAGATGAATCTTGATCACTGAAGGGGAAAAAATCTGTAGAGCAATGATGAATGAAGAAGATAGCATCTGTTAATCCAATCTTCCTCCTACGAGGACACAATAGTACCAAAGAAAATAAATAAATTGGTAACGAGGGTATAAAGCCACGTTTCTCTGTGCAAGGAGGAAAATATTTCATGTGACCCTTCTAAATACGAACATTACGTCAGGGAGATACACATTAAACAAAATAAATACTTCTATGGTTAAGGACAAAAATGGAATAAAGACACATGGATTTATACCTTCACAGGAAGAATACCTGAACGTACTACCATAAGCGAATACTGGATTCAAGTCAACTTTTACAACACATATAACACGAGAAAATGCTCAGCCTATGACTCAGTTAATATACTCGCTTTTTCAGTATTCACAAAACAGCAGCTAGAAAACCACTTGAAAACTCAAAATTGAAAGCCAGTAAGGCAGCCCTGTTGAATATCAATTTTCTTCCTAGCCACCAATTCTGAAAGAAAAAGCATGAGAAATAGAAAGAACTCCATTACGTATGAAATGCTAAGATATTCACTGGAAGGGTAGAGGGAAAAAAGCCCCAAGAAAGAAATGCTAAAACTTGTAGCAAAAGCACTGCAGAAGTTAAGAAATGACACCTTATAATCTTAATATCAAGATTATAACTCAAACAAATTACATATTCTTGCATGTCAGAGACTATCAATAACAATGGGAAAACCGAGAAGACCCCTTGGAAAAAACAAAAATCTTAACTATGTAGATCAAGAAGATAAGATGAAGAAGAGCATGTGAATGACAAGGAACCATCAGAAAAAGGACATCTGGAATCAGGTCTGTCAAATGAAGTCAGTCATAGCGTTAAGAATGAATGTAATCATTGTGGAATTTTCACTTGAAGGGAGAAAGGATCAGTAATCTTAATCCCCAACATGAACAATTATGAAGATTATTAATCTTAGCTTTTTGCTTGGCAAAGTTAAATTCTGGAACTTAAAATTATCTACACCACAATTTCACTCTAGGGTCCTACAATTAGGATTACATGTAATGATTGCTCTTGAG